GAATGTTAAACATGGATTTTCCATACCACCGAACGGGAACGACGGTGGAAGCACTACCAAATCGTATCTAAAACATTTTATTTAATAATCAGCATATCCAGGAGTTTCCATGAAAATCCTAGGAAACTGCGATTGTGTGCGTCCAGAGTGCATCTGCAGCATAACAGAAAAGTAGTTCTTTTCCTCTAGGATGTCAAAATCATCCACACAACGTGAAAAAATTGCGAAAAAAAAATCATTTTCAATGGTTTCACTGCTATCGGATATGCTATGGCAGAAGGCTGTCCGCTACTTACCTTCCCCACTCATACTTGCCGGCTAAGGATTCCGCAGCTCGTAACATTTTTTCCGTTTCGCCGAATTCATAAAATGCTTTGTCGACAACAGGTGGCTCGGCCCAAATCGATGATCGTGCGCTTAAATCACGCTTCTCCATTAGGCCCACGACAATGGCCACGAGGTACGAAGGAATCCGGACTGGTTGCTTGAATGCGAATTTCCTCAATTCTCCAACTTCCTGTGGCTGTCCTGTAGCAATCGCACTCATCAGACACACCAGATCATTCGGTACTGCCACCTAAAACGATTTAGATCAATCATTAGCTTAATCAACTGCAGTTGAAGCTAAAACAACGTACCACAGCATCATAGGTCTGCTTGACTGATGGTGTATCCATGCAAGGTATTATTGAGCGAGCATGGATAGCCTGACATTGACTGAACAGATAGGGCCTTTTCTTTGTGGCTGTTTGCTCAGCTTCCAGGAACTGAAGCGCTGTACACTGCTTGCCTGTGCGGTAGATGAATGTAAGCTCCCTGAAAAAAAAGAACCTTTTCAAATTTCAGTTATTAAAAATTTGTTTCAATTATTTACTCGTTTTCTGAATTGCGCATGTCCAGTGGTTTATTTAATTGCACTTTTCTCATGTCTCTTCTTATTAGTTCATTTTATTGCAGCAGTTGCCTCACAGATAAGGAAAAATACTCAAAAAGAGACTCAAAAACTAAATATAGAAAACTAGTTAGAATTCCAACACGATTCTCCTTTTATGTAAACAAAATCTGCTCGTCTCCATCGTTCATAATATGCAAATCCTAAAAGCAAATAACTTTTTCTGTTCATGAAGAATCAGAAAATCCAGATCCTATACTACAGTCGTCAAAAAATAAATCTATATGTGCTTGAATTTTTGTTCTAGTAATCGAGACGAACGTCAGAATTGCAGCAAAATTTATCAGTTTACGATGCAGCACTGGTCGAAGCAATTGGAGAAATTCCTAGCTGCACAGTTGAAGAACTGGACTATGAATTATCGCCGACCCAAATATTAGTTATGGTAAACACGCACAATTTTTCACCAGCTTTTCGTTCTCCCACGTCAACCACAATTTTCTCGCCCAAAAC